TATAAGCATAATTGCTTACAAGGTAGTTAAAGAATTAGAATTAAAAATCAAACAAGCTTCCTCTAATCTTATTATGTCAGCTACTAATAATTCTACTAGACCTTTAGGAGTCATTTGAGATTTACCTATTACTATAGACGAAATTACTATTCCTATCGCTATTGAAGTAGTAGATATTACTTCATATTCTATCCTTCTTGACAATGACTGGTCCAAGAAAGTTGAAACTAGTTACAACTGAAAAAATGGATGCTATTTTTTTAAATGAAGAGGTAAAAAGCATGCCATTCATACTACCTATGAAAATGACCGACTACTCTCAGCTCAACCTATTGTTACTAATTCTGATGAGCTTAAGCTTTATGAACAAGAATATCTTACACCTTTAGAAGCATATGCTCTTGATGCTAAACCTGCTAAACTATCCTCTAGCAATAGTTCTAAAGAATGGACTGTTTACCAACCAAAGCATAGAACCAGACAACCTAAAGCCTGTGTGTGTAAAAACTGTAGATTACCAAATCATCTTTTCGCATAATGTTCTATCAACCTTTGTAATTGTTGCCAACAACCTGGACATATTGCCATTTACTATCTCAACAACTACCAAAAAGAGTCAGCTGTCGCACTTGCAATCAATCTGACCATCTCTATAGAGCCTGTTAACAAAATATTTGTAACTCATATAACAGTTATAAACATATTAGCATTAATTGTTCTTTGGCTGATCTCCAAAAGCAAAACTATTCATATAAGTGTGGCTATAACTCTGAAATAGTAGAATCCTAAAGACTACCCTATTATAGTCATAGACATACTCACTATTGCTATCAATGCCATGTCCCAAAAAGACCTGAATCCTTAAGAGCTCTTAACAACCAACTCTTCTGTTATGCTTGCTATTTTGACTTCTACTATGCCTTTGATCAAGAAGACCCTCGAAGTGTTCATTTTTATACACAAAGGGAAGGTCATGGACTACTTGTAGAATATAAAGTATGCCAAAAAGCAGAACCTTATTCTCGAATGTACCAACTAGAAAGCCTTAGTAAAGAACTTTGGTTTTGTGAGCTTGAGCACTTATATGCTTATAAAATCAGTTAGGATGTCCTTTATAATCCTAACTACAACTTATGGACAAGAATTAGACATTACACAGAATCTAACCGAAGTGCTGGATCTCAATATGACCTAAACCAGACTCATATATATCATCTTGCTGCTGTTCTTCTTTGGAAAAGTAACAAGACTATTATTAAAACTCTTGAACCTCAAGTTGGTGATCGTTTTAGCCAACTCTGGTCTAATGATAACATGAAACTAGTATTACGAGAAGAACAAGAAACCCTTGAAGAGAATGATAAACTTCTTCTTTAACAAATATTAGATGAGTCCTTTGACACTAGCCATCCTAAATATAATCAACCATTTGCTCTTGCTACCTTATATCACAATTTTAGTACTTCTGTTGACTTTTATAAGGAATGCTTACATGTTAAGCATCAGAAAGAATTAAACCAACATGATGGGTACTGTAGTGATTGTGATACTACATTAGCACATTCACCAAATACTGAACTTGCTTCAGAACCAGACCCTATTTATATTGAACCTCTTACCAAGATGCAACTTCAGTTGGATCAACAAGCTTAACTTATTTAACAATTACAGACACAGGTTCAATCTCTGCAAGACACTAATGTGCAAATTCTACAATTCTTTCAAAACTATTTTCAATATATAAGCAACAAGAAAATGTTCTTGAAACTCTTTTGAGACCTTAAAATTTTTAAATAATCTCAGACAAGATGAAAAACTACCTAATGACCCAGACAAGCCTGAGACAAATTCTAGCAACCTTATACCCCAAATGGTGTGTTCTATTGAAATCTTTATTCTCTATGAAGAATACACCTTGACCTTCAAAACAGCTGTCAATATTGGACCCTTACAAACAGTACAAGGACAAAAATTTAGAACACTATTAGAAGAATTTTCAGACCTTTTTGCATCAGATATAACTGAATTAGGCCATACTAATTTGGTTATTTATAAAATCTATATTGAAGATGTTCCTTCTATTTGATTATGCCCTTATTCAATGCCACCTACAAAACAGACATTTATAAAAGAAGAAATACAAAGAATGCTCGATAATAAACTTATTGGATCCTCTAGTAGCCCCTGAACTTTTTCTGTTATGCTAGTATAAAAGAAGAATAGAAAATTACATTTCTGTGTAGACTACAAAAAGCTTAATGCTATTATGAAGAAGAATACATATCCTTTACCTCGAATAAATGAAATGCTTAATGCACTTGCTAGATCAATGTGGTTCTTTATTCTAGGTCTTGCTAGTGAATATTAGTAAGTTAATATGGACTCTAAAGACTAAGAAAAAACTGCTTTTATTACTCGATATGGCATTTATGAATTGAATGTAATGCCTTTTGGACTTTGCAATGCTCCAGCAACCTTTCAAAGATTAATGGACTGAGTTTATAATGGAATTGCATGAAAATTTGTAGTAATATATTTAGATGACACTATTGTATACTCAAGAACATTTGATGAGCATCTTGAACATCTACAAAAAGTCTTTACCTGAATTCGAAAAGCTGGACTATGTCTTAACATTGAAAAATGTAATTTTTGGATGCAAAGCCTACCCTTCTTAGGCCATATTATATCTGGAAATGGAATTGCTCCAGACCCTCAGAAAATAGAAGCTGTTCACAATATACAACCTCCTAAAAATATAACCCAACTTAGATCTTTCCTAGGACTTGCTGGATATTATAGACAATTTATCCAAAACTTTTCAAGTATAGCCAGACCTCTTAATCATTTAATGAAAAAGGATACTGCATATAAATAGTGCTCTGAACAACAAAAAGTCTTTAATAAATTAAAAAGAAGACTAACTATTGCTCTTATCCTAGCTTATCCTGATTTCAAGTACCCTTTCATATTAGCTACTGATGCTTCTTATTATTGCTTTGGTGCTACACTTAGTCAAATAGAAAAAGATAGAAAAGAACATCCAATTGCTTATGCAAGTAAAAGCCTTCAAAAAAAAGAAATGAACTATGGTGCTACTGAATTAAAATGTGCTACCATAGTTTGGGCAATCAAACATTTTCATAAATACCTAGGAACTGCAAAGTTTATTCTTATTACTAACTATAATACTCTTAAATGATTAAGGACAGCTAAACCTAAAGGACAAATTGGAAGATGGATACTAAATTACAACCTTATAATTTTGAAATTATTCATAAACCAGGCTGAGTTCATTCCAATATAGATGCACTCTCAAGGCTGCTGACTCAGACACTACCTATACCATTCCAATAAATTTAGATCAATATATTAACTTATATAATTATTTAGAATTAGACACATTACCTAAAAAGTTAACAGACATAGAAGAAAAACATCTAATTTGACAAGCTAGATATTTCGAAACAAAGCATAGACTATTATATAAAAAGAATAGAAAAGACTCTACTCATCCCTTTAGAGTAATTAAATAGACCGAAGTAGAACCTATCCTATATATGATGCATAAACATCTTACTACTGAACATTTAGGAACAGATGTCATATATTATAAGATTGCTAAATGATATTATTGGGACCAAATGTATAGAGATGTACAAAAATATGTTCGCACTTGTACAGAATGTCAACAATGTAAAAAAGGATAAAGAAAGGAATCTCTTCATCCTATTCAAATAGGATAAGCCTTTGAATGACTTGATATTGATTTAGTAGGACCTCTCCCTCTTACTAAACAAAATAATCGCTATATAATTGTTGTGACTAAATATCTAACATGATGGCCAGAAGCCCGAGCTGTGCCTGATACTAGTACTGCTATACTAGCACAATTTATTTTTGAAGAAATAGTTTGTAGACATGGAACCCCAAAAATTATCTTATCTGACCAAGAACAAAACTTCATTAGTGAAACTATCTGCATATTATGCAAAAGGTTTCTAACCAAAAATAAATTCTTATCACAATACCATCTACAAACAAATGGCATGGTTGAAAGATTTAACTGAACACTCTGTGAAGCACTTGCTAAAGTAAAAGGAACAGATGATTGGAACATTCACATTCCTGCTATATTATTAGTATACTAAACAAAGAAACATGCTACTACTGGATATACTCTATTTTAACTTATTTATAGTCGACAAGCTACACTGCTGATTGAAGCTTTAATACCTGTTGAACTACTACCAAAAAGTAGTAAAGATATTAACTTACAAGACAGTATTTTGCATAGAGCTTATGAGCTAATAGACAAATTGTCCCAATTGCAAGAAAATGCAAGAAGCAATACTAATAAGTCGCAACAGAAACAGAAACAATACTTTGATGCAAAAGTTAAAGTACAAGAATTTGAAGTAGGTAACAAAGTATGGATCTAATGAAAGGAACTAAAAATGTCAAGATCAGCAAAATTTAAGAATAAATAACTAGGACCATTCATAATTTATAAAAAATTAGAAAATGGTGCTTATAAGTTATAAAATAAAGAAGAAAAAATCTTACAAAACTATTACAATAGTGATTGATTAGTAAAATATTATGAGAAACAGACTTGGGAACCATTAGTTGTTGTTGAAACTTAGCAAATTTCTGAAAGAAATTTAATTTGGAAGAGAGTAACACAATGAAAAACATTTTAAAAATCTTGTATTACTTTAAAATATATATATAGACAACCTAACTGTGCAAATTTTCCTAAATTAACAATTTGGCTATTTAAAAAATGAATACTATTATTCTGCAACCTAATACTATTTAGGCCCTACAAAATTTTATTTCTATTTGGAGCAAGACCCTGCTGCTCAATACAATTTAGGAATTTTCTCCCAAAATGTAATACTATGGGATGACCAAATACCAGACCAAGTTATCGATATTTTATCACAGCTTGAAGAAACAGCTTTAAGTGAAATCAATCAACTTATTGGAAATTTGAACTAACCAATTAATAATTCAATTCCTATCTTAGAAGAAGAATTAGATGAACAAAATCCTCTTACAAAAATAAAGGAAGACCTCATGCAACCTCTTGAACCTCAAAAAGCCTCTTGAATCTCACCTTTCAAAGGAACAACTTGGAAGAAAAAACTTAATGATATTTTGGAAAAACTTTCTATTCATGCTAAGTCAAGAGAAAATCAGATCAAAACTCTTGAAGCTTACTATTACTTGGGAACTCTTATTCAAGAAAATGAAGCTAATCAGAAACAGATTAAAGAATGAATACAGGAAACCAATAGTGCTCACAAAGCTCAAGACATTTGGAAAGGAGCTCATCATATTTAAAAGATTTTTACTCTTTGACTAAAAGCTATAATCTACCAGACAAAATACTTGGCTGCTACACAAGTTGTAAAGCTTACAGACAAAGCTTTCACTTCTTTGATTAGAGACTTAAAAGATAAATTTGCAGAGCAAATTTCTTAAGAGGCCAGAAATGTTATAAAATGAATTTTATTATTATATTTTAGTATAGTTTCATGAATGTATATTTTATTATTAATTGATAATATTATTATTATTATTATTATTAGCATTAGTTATTATCATTTAGTTATATTAGATAGAACAAATCAATTACAGAGGTTAATGCTTAATGCTTGATGCTTAATGCTTAATGCTTAATGCTTTATGCTTGATGCTTGACACTTAATGCTTAATGCTTAACACTTAACACTTGACATTTGATACTTGACACCTGATGTCTGACACTTTGCTCTAATAATTATTAAGCTTTAATGCTTAGCTTTAATGATTGTTAATGGATATATAAACCCCAAGAATTTCTCCAAGTCAAGCAAGTTACAGACACCTCTCTCTTTCTACTTTTTAGTTTAGTAACTCCTGTAAAGTGTAAAAAGATTCCTTAGAAACAGAAACCTAACAGATAGCCTTATTCTTTTAATAAAGTTATTATCTTTATCTATAAACTATATTGATATTTTTTCTCTAAGGTAATTCCTACAGGCAAGATATATCACTTCCAAGTTAATAAAGTTGTAAACCATTGTATTGTCTTAACCAAATTGCTCAGAGAAGGGTATAATTGCTAAATAGTTAAAGCTACTATACTTCTCTCTTGGACACTACTATAAACCTGTAAAGGATTACTGTAGCCATGTCATTGTTATAGTAAGGAGTTAAAGAAGGCCTCTCTACTGTAATACTAGCTAATAACTAAACAGTTATTGGACCAATTATATGATCAGTTATATGACCTAACTGCAGTCAGTCAGTTATAAGTAAAGATAGAAAAATTAATGATTTTTTGAATTTACTGTGCAGGCTGTGCAGCCTGCATGTGCCTGTATTACAGCTATATAAGCCAAAATTGTCAAATCCTATAGCATTATAAAAAATTCTGAGCTTCTAAAAAATTCCATTTGCACAATGTTTCATCTTTAGTTATGAGTCAAAGACTGATTAATAACTGACCATGACTAACTAGACCCACCCTTATATGAGACCTAATAATAAATTTAGATGTTGTAGTAAAAGTGTAATATATATTAGCATATTACCAATAATATTGGTATAATAGAAAACTGTATTAAAAAATCCAGAACTTAATATTGATAGAAGTGATATTTTTGTTAAAAAATTACATATATGTATATATGTACAATTGAAAAAGTATTCAATTATCATTATCATTATATAATGATATGTTACTGTTCTGAGTCATTTCGTACAATTTAGGTCAATTCTGAATTGATCTAGATCATTCTTAAATTTTTACTGATTCAGAAATGGCCCAGGTCAATTTTTAATAAAAACTTCTTTAGATAATAAGAGAATCACTAAAGCAACAGGTAACACTTAGATCGAACTATAAGTCCTAGCCTGTTATTATAAAGAATATACAGGTTATAGAACTTTAGACTCAGGAGAGAGCTAAAGCTATGAAATTTAAAAGATCAAGATATGACCAATCATCTGTTGATAAATAAGCACCAACTAATTTATTTGTATAAATAAATAAGTCAGTGCTTATTTGTCATACCTCATACTTAGAAAAAGGTTATCACTTAATTCCAAAACTTAATAAAAATTCAGAATCCAGAATTATTATGTATGTTAAATTAATTAATGCAAAAAACAAAATTAATAAATAATGTTGCCAGTAGAATGGTTGAACACAGGGATGGAATGGATTTGACAAATTGTCACTTAAGAAATAATTATGCTACATAACATTCCTCAAGATAGTAAAGGTGGATTTATGATTTGGCACAAGGTTAAAGTGATCATTAAGAGAGTTACAGGATAAGTATAAGTAAACTTAAAAAAGCATTTATTGTATTGGTCAAGAGGACTTTATTAATAATTTTTATTTATTTTATAGAGCAATACAATTATAGAGCTATCATATTAAATTATTTGAAACTAGATAGCTCTTTTTCTAGAGATGAAAATCCTACCCTTATATAATAAATTGGCCATGAGAAGAGCATGCACAAGACCATAGCTCTTCTCTTTGTGCTTATCATTTTCCAACCTTATTTGTTTTAACCTTGAACCTCTTATTCTAGCCTTTCATTAGTTTAACATTTCTCATAGCTTCGATAAGAAATGTTTCAGGTACATGATCTTAGAGCCAGAACTCATTATATTGTCTTCAATTACACCTCCTTGGCATCACTTTACACCTAACCCAAGTAAAACAGATGGAGTTAACATCTATTTCCAATGCAACAGGTTGGTCTAGGTTGACCTTACTTTAATTGAAGAAGTAATTGGGTTTTACATAGAGGCTTTTGTACTTTTATATAGCTTCTTTTAGGGTCAGGCATGCATGTTTCAAATGGATCATCATGGGCAACTCTGATTAGATAAGTATACCACAAAGATGTCCATTTCACAGGTTCATGAGATGTTGGTTTTACCTCTAACAATAAATAAACCTTTCTAAAGTTTAACTTTATTAATAAATACAATTTTTTTTTTATTAATTTTTAAAATAAAAAGTTACGACTTTTAAGTATGAAACCTTTGATCAAATATTAAAAGCTTTTATTTATTAAAGAAAAAACAATCGCTATTTAATATCAAAATAAATATAATCAATGTTTAACTGTAATAACTTATATAATACAAAATTTAAATATTAGATAATATAATTTTAAAATTATTTACATTGTTGAACTGAAAAAATTTATATGACTAAATGATCTGGGGCCACAAATTTGTTCTATAATGTGTATTTTTTTTATTGTGTTTTTGTTCTTTATTTATTTGTATTATACATTTTTTATTTATATGAATTTTTTATTTTATCTGGAGCATTAAACTATATTTTTAATTTTATTTAATAAGTTTTTAATTATATTTATATAAAAGTTTTCTTTATTTACACAAAAGAACTTTAATAATATAATTAATATTATTGCTTAAGTTATATAATTTGTTGCTAGGCATACAATTTTAAATTTTTAAAAATTTCATCAATTAAGAAATGACCTAGGTCATTTCAAAATTCCAGAATAACCTAGAAATCGACTTATATTGTGAAATGACTCAGAACAAGGTCACAAGAATTAATTATTCAAACAGATCTATGATTTCACACATCTATATCTAAATTGTCTTAAACTATACACTATATTGTATGTTGTAAAACTTTATTCCTGGTATAAAAAAAAATATACTACAAGGCACAATACACAATTTCAATAAAATCACAACTAAAACCTGATATATATAAAATATATATAAAAACTACACAATAAATCAAGTAATATAATGATAACACATAACAAGAATATTACAGTATGGTAAATTTAGGTAATGATTATTATCACAAATACATGTACACAAAGTTACAAGGTATAAGCATCCAATCAAATGCCTAGAATTGTGAACTCCACTTAACTTGCTATAAAACTATACACTTCATATTTTATACTCCGTTTCTGGTAAACCTATACTGTTGAAGTTTCTGTAATTATTTTGTACAATTTCTTGGCAGAACTAACTCAAAACATCAACTTAGCCTCAATGCTAATTACTTGAACCTTATTTGCTCTACAGCTGTCAAATATTCAATTCACATTTCTCTTTTACCTAACATTTCTATTATCAACTCTATCAAATCTGAAATCTTTATTTCAAGTAAATCTACTAACAAACTTATATCTATTTCAATCACAACCTCTTTTATTAGCAACTATCTTTCTATACTGATGAATCTGTAATTGATATTGGTATTGACCAATACACAATAGGTATTGGTTGAATCCAAGTCAATAATAATAATCAAATTATTAATTTCTTCTCTGCTAAAATTAAATTTTGGTCTCATCTTATAAAGCAAAACTCTTCTCAATTATTATTGCAATCTCAACTGCTCCTCAAAATTGTACTATTAATATTTTTACAGACTCTCAATAAGTAATCTATAAATTTAATAATCTTCAACTTAAGTCAATCTATCCTAACAAATTACTCAAATTTAATTTATAGTCAATCTAATACACTCTTCTAAATATTATTAAATTATACAAATTACAAATTACCTTTCATAAAATACAAACTTATTCAAATAATTATTTCAATAAGCAAGCAGACTCTCTTGCTAAACAATACTCACTGTCATCTCTTTTTTTATTTAATTACACAAATCTTTATAACTCTTATTATATTTTCTAATGAGAACACCATTATGTAGAACTTTCTACAAGACATTTCATTAAACAAATCTGTAAAGCTCACATCTTAGCTATATCGGCATCACAAAAATAAAACAGTAAGTGGTCATACTTCAACCAAGACATTGACTAAAGATCCACTTGGCTTTACTTCAATCATAATAAAAAACCCTCATAAAATATTATCAACTTTAGACTTAATCAACTAAAATCTTTTAAAACAAAAATTCTTCTTAATAAGTTACCAACATACTCATTATATCATACTATTTATCCAAGCCTATATCCAGACACTGCTTGCTTCTTTTGTAACTTATCTAATTCACATTTCCACTAATGCACTTGTGCTAATCCATCTTTATTTAATCAAATTATCTAAACCTCTACTAATTAAATTATCTCTAATAACTTGCCTGATCTTGACACTTACTATAAACATAACTTAATTAACAAAATTCTTTATCATTCAGCTTT